GAGAGAGAGAGAGAGAGAGAGGGTAAGAGAGAGAGAGAGAGAGAGAAAGAGAGAGTTCGTGAGTATTTGGGACCTATCCTTGTGGCAAGACAAGTCAATGAAAAAGAGAATGGAAAACCTGCTCAACAAGTCTCAATACACGTACGATTGTCTACTTCGCTGTATCCATAATTAATACGGTTGCTTGTTTAGGTGTCTCTATATGCAAAGCCCGCTGTACGCGGTGAGAGAGAGAGAGAGAGAGAGAGAGAGAGAGAGAGAGAGAGAGAGAGAGAGAGAGAAAGAGAGATAGGGAGATATGGGAAAATTAGCCCCATGGAAAAGTGGTATCACGTCCGGGACGTAGACAGACAATAGCAAGCGGCCTGTCCATCGATTGTATTCTATTTATATCCGCTCCCGTTATGTGAACTATCAAGGTCTTGCTATCAAATCATAAACTCTACTATATTCCACATGCCACAGAGTCGAGTTGGCTATGGATTCTATGTAGTTGCTAAGGGAATAGAATTCTATAAACAAAGTATTCAAACACAGTGGTAGGAGTATAGCGTTATGCGTGTACAGTGATGTTTTCTGATGAGAGGTAAACCTTAGAGGCTTAACAGCAAACTAATAAACGCGCTTTACCTGAAAACAATGCTGAAGGCCAGCAGGACATGCTCACCATAGTGAATGGTTTTAGAGTTGAATAAGGAAGGCTTTCTGGTGCCAACACTGAGTGATTTCTAATGACTTTATATGCTTTACACTACGACTCAATTTAGGCCACTTAGGCGATTCTGTCTCTCAAGGTCAACTTGTCAAGGCCAAACTGGTCTTTGTGGAACGCAGCATCCCAGCATGAAAGACTGAGTTATCCCATAGAAAGACTCTCCCTTTGAAATTCGTACTGTTGTCTTTTGCCCATAGGGCGGAGAGCGTGGTCATTCTTTCACAGACGCTATTATCAAAGAGTTGAGAATAAGAATACTGTAAAGGAAGATAAGTATCCTCAGGGAGCAGCTGTTGATATAAAAAAAAGTTAAGATCGTAAGACTGCCTTAGACTGCTATAAAAGAAGACAATTCTTGAGGCACAGAAGCTAGTATTGAAAAGTTGAGACATGAAAGATCAGAATTCTTTAGTCACTATGCTGTACTCACCATGATGATAGGTTATAGATTTGAGGTTGGAAGGAATGTTCCGCAGCAAAAGTCTTCCTCACGTGGACGTAAAGTTGTCGTTGTAAGGAGAAGCGTGAGAGCCTCTGGCAGATACTTTGCCTTATATACCACGGCTTGTTTGCTCAGCCTAGTTACACGGGGGCGGGTCGTTAAGGGACGGGCAGGCATTTTGTGTCACGTGACTCTCCCCGATGGAAGAAGTAGATCGATCTGAGTGGAAGGCGTAGTCAGGCCTATCCAAAACAAATGCCAACATCGCCCAATTAAAGGAAATCATATATACATTTTGTTCGTAGAATCAGTAGTACACTTTTATCATCATTATAACAGTAGGGTTAATAATATTTAAAGGGGGGAAAGGGGGGGGGGGGTTACGGGATAGATCAGTAGGCTCTGCCCAAATATCTGCTTTCTTATCCTTCTCCTCAGGATTCTGTTTACTTACATATTGCCCTGCGCAACCAGCAGGGTAGGCCAAAGCTCCTATTCAAAATCGTTCACACTTGAGTTCATGTCGCGGCTTAGCTCCCTGCGCTCGCCGCAAGGAGTTAGAATCTACTGTGGAACCGCAGACGGGGGACGAGCGAGACGAAGTCGTGAGCGATCTTTTGTTAGCCCGGATTTGCTGGTCTGTGCTGTGGGGGTTCCAGAATATTGATTTTATGCGCGAACAAGGTCTCCTTGTCCTCCCCGCGGTCTGAGAATGTACTATTTCCATTAGTAAAACTGCACATTTATTCGATGGTTCCGGGGTGCATGATCAGATCGGTTGATTGAGAAAACCAGGCAGAAGTGAACACATGTGTTTCAAACAGAATGTTCTTCTTTTTCAGGTGTCAGATGTGGAACAGACGTTGACGATCGCGGTATCCCACTCCTTCCTATTGTCTGTTTTCCTGATCAGCTCGGTTTTTCTCACTTTTGTTATTTGTTTCAAAGTTGTTGATCTCATCTGTGTATGTTGTTCTCTGTCTTCCTTTGCTCTTCTTTCACTCTATCTTTCCATACAGCTACAGTCAGTCTCTCTTGTCCATTTACTCTATTTATGTGGCCAAAGAGTCTCAGTTGTTGTTTTTCTGATGGCTGTGAATATAGATCGTTACAACCGGAAATTTGGAGTACTTTTCTCTTTGTTTACCTCTCTGTCCACGAGATTCAGAGTATTCTTCTCAAATACCACATTCCAGCGGCTTCCTGTTTTCCCTCTGTGTCAGGTCTTGTATCCATACAAAAAGACTAGCGTCTGTGCGTAAATATAATCAGTACGAATAAGACTTAACTAAAAGGCCAAGGACAAAGTTTGGCTCACACAGCTCGGTCGATGGTCAGCTCTTCCATAATGTTAGTCATGTTTTGTTTTAGTAAGGTTTTACGGCGCTCGCAAGTGCATGTCATATGAGTGCCAAGGGGTGGATGTCATCAGAGAAGTACAGACGGGGAATCAGAATTACCCTGCTCACCTCTCTAGCCTCAACAGTACAAAGTCTGCTTCAACTGTCAAGGCACCATGAGAGTGAAAAGCATACAAAAGGAGTAGAGGAAAAATGACGATAGTAAGGATGAGGAAAGAAAAAGCAACAGTTCCCCCCTGTGTTGTTCTGGCACAGTATGACCATGACACTGATAAATCACCCAATTAAAAATTCTACTGTGCATGAGACCACGTTAATATCCTTCTTCTTCTTCTTCTTCTTCTTCTCCTCCTCCTCCTCCTCCTCCTCCTCCTCCTCCTCCTC